ATCATGTGCAAATGGAGCCAGGTAAGCCAGATGTCCAGACCCTTTCAGCATCAGTACAGCGTCGAAGTATATACTGATTGGAAATTTTTATTTTCATTGCTATCAGGTTCGGCCTCATTTTCTCTGTGCTGCGCTGATGAGTTCAAAAAGAACGAAACAGCATGCTGTCCGCAGATTGAGCATGTACATGTACATGTAGACGGGGCCAAGCACTCTGAACCTGTGTAGTGACCTTCCACACAGTCATACATGCACCTGTAGCAGACCACCTGCAACTCACTATTGTAAACCAAACGCTTGCAACGGGAAGAGGAGGAACGTAGTGTTTCAACTCTGAGTTAAACACACAAGTAGGCAATCATCAGAGATCCCAGAAATGAAGAGAATACAGAAGTATACCGATCTACAATTCGTTCTTGCCGAGTTCCTCAAGCTGATTTGACATCGAATCTCCAGTACAGTAGCAGTCAGTGCCTAGTCTGGTGTTCCTTTCGCCCACTACTCCTAGTAGGTCATATTTGGATTTTATATTAATATTACTTAGGCTTGCTCAACAGACCTGAGGTCTACATACGGTATACACAATGTTACTATGCAGTGGGTTCATGACCAAATGAATCCGGGTATTAAATTGATGTTGCGGATACTAGATTCAGGAAGTACATTCAAAAAGCGGCCACCATCAAGGAATGTAATATATTTGTGCCTAGATGGGGTGACATGATCTATTGGGTCGGGTCTAGATCACTAGAATGCAATGAGGCTACTTCCACTAGACCGCATATTGCAACGCGCACGGTACGATCTCATCCAGGATGGAAATGAATACAGCCGTGCGCATCGCATGGCTATGGTGTCGGATATCCTTGACAAAAACAAGGCGAGCCAAAGTTAATAAGTTACTGAAAACTTCGCTTCTCGTTCCCTTCAGTTTTCTGCAGGACACAGTCGTCCTACCGCTGACAATGGACCGTCGCCTACTTGCCTCTTCTCGAAGCCCGTGAATCCGATTTGGAAAGTTCCAGGCCAAGAACTTCGTCACAAAGGCTTGAACATATGTTTGAATTAACTCGGCAACAAGGCTGCTTTTGGCGCCAATGGGCTTGAACGTCTTGTTGAACTGGTGCACTGCATTTCTGAAAATTAATCTGAGCACTTTCCGCATTGCTCCATAAAAGACATCGATGCATGCGTCATCCACGTCCCAGCGACCCGGTCGATCATAGAGGCGGGCGGCCTGTTGCAAGTCCGGTTGCCAACATGGTATTGAGGGACCTGGCGTTCGACGGTCCCAGAAACGCTGATCTGGTCTGGATACAAGTGTGATAATTGTCTTGGCAATGAGTAGCTGGGCTAGATCACCAGACTTTGTGCTGATGAACCCATCACTGGAAAACCCGTTGTTACATGTCTCTGTGCTGTTCGGCACATGTTGTGGCACGCTGAGACAGCAGTTCTGAACGGCTTCCACGGATAGCTGCATGATTTCCCTGGCAGTGCAGCGTGGAAATACGACTGGTTGATTGCCGTTCTCCTGGTACATGGTTATGTGCAGTCGAGCAAAGTACATGAGCATTGACAGACAGTAGATAGTTTTCATGGTGCCCGCTTTGTCACTGCTTACGCACCATTTAGCTTCGAGTTGCACCTTCTGCTGTGCAGCGCAGAACACAAGGTCGAAGAGATCTTTGCGGCTGCATTTGTCGTCTTTGCTGGGCGACTTTCTGTACGGATAACTGCACACAACGCTGACAAATTCTTCACCTGTGTAGTTCGAATTACTAGTAGTAGTACTGGTACTGGTAGGTATATTGGCAGTGGTGTCGGCACGGGAGTGCACGACACAGTTACACAAACAGACCAGGACAATCATGTTCAGCCAAGACCGCAATGACCACGACCGCAGATATCCTGATCTGTTTCCATGCCGCATACCTGAACAAGTCGCCAGCATGCACTGATAGTTGACTTGGGACGATAACAATCACAATGAACCTTTCACAAATTCCCTGCTTGTTAGCCTTGCACAAAGGAATCTTGGTGAACCTCCTGCATGTCGAGCCGACTGGTTCTCCCAAGGTCTTTTATACATGTAATACATGTATCAGAGAGCGGAGTCCTCCGGTTCGATAGAGTGCTCAATGCAGAAGCAGAGCAGTAACACACGACTCTAGACGCGTGGCACTCTGTGACTCGTGTGTAATACATGTATCCGTACATATACGTACTGTATTGCGTGCTAGGAGTGTGTCTCCGATTGTGGGATATTCGCGAGCTCGGGCCCCATCCAACAGCTCGTTATTTCACAATGTGTAGCCGAAACTAGCAGATTTCAGCAGTGACGCATAACTCGCAATAGTTCCCTGTCTGTGGTGGCGGCTGATCATGATGCAGCGTTTGCGGGCATAGCAGGTCATTTTTTTATGAATGTACATGTCCATCTAAATGTAAATGTACGTTGCATGTAGTCTTGACAAATTAATCTGCATTTACACACATAATTATCAGAGAACATCACGTGTCCGGCACGAAGATACATGATTGTACAATGTCCCAGCATGACCATTGAATAGTCTCCAGAGCTGGACGAGTCTTATTACGGAGGATTAGCAAGACGAAATTCGCGTTCGCGTTCGCTCTCCAAGGAAAGTCGAACTCAGTGACGGAATTCGCGTTATGAGAAGGATTAGCAAACAGACTTCGCACATGCATGACGTTGACACGTCGTCCATTGTGTGCAGACAGTATAGCGTAGTAAATTTATGACTGTCCTGACACGAATCCGCGATTCGTGTTCCGACTACTTTTCCGAACGAAAAATGCGAAAGTTCGCAATCCAGTTCGCTAACTGAAAAATGTTTGCGAACGCGAACGCGAATTTCGTCTTGCTAATCCTCCGTATTGTTTGTGCAGTATTCTACATTCACATTGTGGATGAAATTCCGCCAGCAGAGTCCCCCACCGAACGAAGAAGTGGAGCACATTATTCTACATACCTATACACAAGGCAGAGCAACAGACCGTGTGATGAGTGTTTTTGAACACGAAACTCAGAGTAATGAGAAAGTGTTTTGGTCTCTCTTGTTCTGCCTTGTGTAGTACGATCCGCCCTTGTTAGAGTATTGAGCACTATTTGCAGCAAGGACTTCAGACGCTTTGTACATACTTTGCACATTATTCTACATACCTATACACAAGGCAGAGCAACAGACCGTGTGATGAGTGTTTTTGAACACGAAACTCAGAGTAATGAGAAAGTGTTTTGGTCTCTCTTGTTCTGCCTTGTGTAGTACGATGCGCCCTTGTTAGAGTATTGAGCACTATTTGCAGCAAGGACTTCAGACGCTTTGTACATACTTTGCACATTATTCTACATACCTATACACAAGGCAGAGCAACAGACCGTGTGATGAGTGTTTTTGAACACGAAACTCAGAGTAATGAGAAAGTGTTTTGGTCTCTGTTGTTCTGCCTTGTGTAGTACGGTCCGCCCTTGTTAGAGTATTTAGCACTATTTGCAGCAAAGACTTCAGGCACTTTGTACATACTGTACATACAGTAGAAGCAGAGGACATTTTAAAATGATTACAACTCTGAGTTTCCGCTCTGGGCGATCGGGTCCCCACTCTAAGAACACCAGTTGCCATGGCCCAGACAGAGCGTGAAGCTGAGTTTATTTCAGTGATTTTCATGAATCGATAACATTGTACTTAGTGCATTTCTGAAGCACATGTGAAGTACAGAATACAATTCAATGTTCAATCATGAAGGATTAGAACGCAACACAAAAAGAAAAAAAAACAATTTTGCGTTTATTGCCCAGTTCTCGTGTTACATGTTCCTTTTTAATATAGTCTGTCTCATTTTGCCCTGAGATGTTTTGATGCATAGTGATTATGACGCTCATCATTCGCTCCCTCGTCACTGTAACGTTCTGTCCGTTTGGTTTTAGCGAATTCAAATAAAGAAAACAACAACAAAACAACATGTATATGTCGATCACCAATTCAGCTTGCATCGTGTATTACCGGTATTTGTTTTCATTAAATTTTTGAGCATTGCATTCATTGTGTTATTTTCCCGTACAAGAGGCTTTCATTTTATTCAAGAAAGTAATCAAGAAGTTGGTTGCTCCAACGAGGAGCACACGCTTCTTGCCGAACTTGACACTTGACTGACTCACGACTGACATCCGGAGCACACGCGGAGCACGTCGCACCTTCCGCTCGGCAAACCTGAAAGAAAGCACCACTCCCTGCTGAATACACAGTGTTTCGGGGAATTCATCCCTCATCAGTTGAGCTTGAGTAGTGTTTGTTTTCTTTCTCTGGAAGACTGTATGCACTAAGAATATCAAACATAAGACACTGCTAAAACTGAGAAGAAACTTAGAATTGGATTCAACCACTGTTCACCATGAACTCTTTTCAAGACAAGGAGAAAGCAAAACAACAAAACCAAAGCTGCTAGAGCACTGCACGCGGAAAAACTCTGCACGTGAGATGCCGTGCAGCGGGAAAAAGGCCATACATCTGAAGCATACGTCTCGTGCACAGGAGCACAAGCCCGGGAAAAACAGGGTTGATGATCACATGATTTCACGCATGAGTGATACCATACATGACCTACAGAACTAGAGAATGATTGTAGTGAAAACAGACACATAAATCATACATTTCTCCCCTCTTTGCTCGAATAAGGCAGAACTATGGTTGACGGATGAGAGCAAGCTAACGTAAACAGGAGAGATCACACTACATGTATAGCATGGATTGAACGCTGCACCAAACTTGAGTGGAACGGCCAACGCCGGAGAATTGGACTGTCACCTAAGAACAATTTTGAATTTTAAGATGATGAGAAAAACAGCAGATAATGATCTCCAAGTCGGGTGCATGACCATATCAATGTTCCTTAAGAACATGTCACTTTGCTGTACAATACTGTTCGTTGCTGCTAGCAGTTCACACGGAGCGAAACTGTTCACTACTGCTAACAGTTCACTGCTCACTCTCGAGTGGAATCAGGACATTGATAGCACGTCGGTACACCCGCTTGCGGATCTTGACGTCCACTACGCGTACACAACCGTCCTCAGCCGGGTATACAGCAACCACTCGACCGAGTGGCCAGGTACTTCTAGGGGTGTGTGCGTCAACACAGATGACGACATCGCCCACCTTGATGTTGCGTTTCTTCTGCTGCCACTTCTGCCGGACGTTCAACGTTGGAACCACCTCCTTCACCAACCTTCGCCAGACGTCTTGAGTTAGGCGCTGTACAACTCTCCACCTGTCATGTGGATCAGGCTGTCCGTCAGGCTCCAGATGATCGATGGCGTGGTGGATATCGCGATGACCCACGAGGAAGTGCAGTGGCGTTAGCGGCTCTAGATCCTCGGCATCGTCACTGATACTCGTAAGAGGTCGGGCGTTCAGCATAGCCTCCGCATGAACGAATGCGGTCGCAAGCTCTTCATCACTGCACACTCCATTTTCGAGAACGGCGTACACTGCACGCTTCGCCAGCTTGATCATAGACTCGAACACACCTCCGTGATGTGGCGCGCTTGGTGGATTAAATCTCCAGTTGATCTTGTTTGACGCCATGTCTGCCGCAACATCTTCAGAGTGCTCCAGCTCTTCCACGGCGTCTCGCAGCTCTGCTTCAGTAGCGACGAAATTGGTGCCGTTGTCAGAGACGACATCCTTCGGTGTGCCTCGCCTCTTACAGAATCGGGAGAAACACATCAAGAACCCCTGCGCCGTCATGTCGTAAGCCATTTCCAAATGACACGCACGTGTCTCCAGACACGTAAATAGGCAGAGATAACGCTTGGCACGGCTTCGTCCACGGCCTTGCCTTGTCGAGAACGGCCCGGCGTAGTCCACGCCAACGCCAGAGAACACTCGTTCAGTGATAGCGACACGCTGCTCAGGAAGCTGTCCCATGAGTTGGGATGCTGGCCTGTTCCACCGTCGTCTGCAGCCGTTGCAACCGTGTCGATGCGACTTCACTGCCTGCTTCCCGCGGACGATCCAATAGCGTTGTCGGAGATTTGCGAGTAGATAGTTGACTCCGAATTCGTGATGACACTTCTCATCCTCCGATGCTATGACGAGTGAGGTGATCTGGTGCTTAGGTGGGAGAATCACGGGCCGGCGTGTGCATGCCGTAACCTTCGTGCTAGCATTATCGAGCCGTCCGCCGACTATCAGCACTGCAGGATGCTGACTTGTATCCAGTTCTGGATTCAGTGGCAGCAGCGGATCGCCATTCTCAAGTGGTTGGCCACGCTCAAGACGGCTGATGGTGCGCCCATAGGACTCGCGTTGAGAAACGGAGAGCCAGTACCTCTCTGAAAGTACCATCTCCTCAGCCGACAGCTCCGGTACTGGAACACAACTGCCGCTGCAGTCGCAACTCCCCTCTGTGCTGCTGGCTGGGAGAGGTTGCAGCAATCCATCTGATGTGGCAGGTGCACTGGCTTTGGTTGATCCAGCTGCCTGCTTGCAGTTGCGGAGGAAACGAAGGCACCAGCACGTCACGCGAAGAAGTCTCTTCCATGACGAGCACCTGGCTGGTGACAAGCGAGACTGTGCAGGCTCCGCTGCTGTTGTGACAAACGCAGATGCCAGGGCTCGCTTCGTCTCTCCACCGACGTATGATGGCACAGTGATCTCTCGAATTGGCCACTGATCGGGAGGCGACGACAGGAACTCCGGTCCGGACCACCAGACTTCATTGTCAGCTAGCTTCTCCGCTGTCAATCCACGACTTGGCAGGTCTGCGGGGTTGAGTCGGCCCGGGATATGACGCCATTGAGCTCCAGAGGTAGCGGCGTGAATCTCGGAGATTTTGTTCCCGATGTCTGTCTGAAACTTCCGGCTGTGAGATCCGACCCAATACAGCACGTTCATACTGTCCGTCCAGAATACATGGTCTCGGACTGGCAGGTTGAGTGCTTTCTCCACCTCGAGGCTCAGCTTCGTGCCGAGGACCGCTGCCTTCAGCTCCAACTTTGGGATGGAGAGCTTGCGGATTGGAGATGGTCTCGCCTTCGCCAGGGCTAGCGTCGTCTTCACCGTTCCGTCTGGATACTGGCACCGTATGTACGTAGCAGCAGCGTACGCTCCATCAGATGCGTCGGTGAACGTGTGCACTTGGATCTCAGCAGTGGAGGGGTCGAGAGTGGCCACCTTGAAACACCGGTCGACTTGGACTGCTGAGAGTGAGGGTAGCTCCGAGAACCATTGCGTCCAAGCCTTGGCATCATGCTCGTCCAGTTGATCGTCCCAGCCATACCCTTTGATGCATAGCTGCTGGAACATCATCCGCGAGCGAATCGTGAGCGGGCAGATCTGTCCTCGCGGGTCGAATACTGTGGACATCTCCTTCAGGACTGTCCTCTTGGTCATCTGCTCAGCTGCGCAGCCGGAGAAGACGAAGAGGAACTTGTCGGACTCAGCATTCCAGGTGACACCTAGAGTCTTCGTGGATGGCAGCGTGCTGTGACTGTGATCACCCACCTCGGCAACAGCTCCTGGCGCACGATCCTCCTCTGGAACATCGGCCATTACTGCTGCAGAATTGGACAGCCACTTGCGGATGTTGAATCCACCATCATGGAGTAGTGACTTCACCTCGAGGCGCACACGCTTGGCTGTGTCATCATCAGCACACGAATGGAGTAGGTCATCTACGTAAGTGTCATCGTGGACCGCGGCCGATACGTCAGCTGAGTAGAGATGGCCAAACTTGTTGGAGGTCTCCTCGAGAGCTCTACCCGCCAGGTACGGTGACGCTTTTACACCAAAGACGATGCGGTTGAACTGGTACACCTTCGGCTCGTGCTGCGGGTCGTGCCGCCACAAGAAGCGGTGGTACTTGCGGTCTTGTTGACGTAGCTGGATCTGCAGAAACATCTCTGATATATCGCCGACCAGGGACACCGGCTCCAGGCAGAAGCGAAGCAGGACGTGAACAATATTGTTCTGTGTCTTTCTGCCAGCATACATCTCCTCGTTCATAGACGTACCTCCCCAGTTGACGGACGCATCGAAGACGACTCTCACCTTGGTGGTCACGCGATCATTCCTCACGACTGGGAAGTGGGGAAGATACCATTGATCACTTCCGTCCTCTGCCGCTGTGGTGGGCTCAACTTCTTCGATGTAGTGCTTCGTCATGTAGGTTGACAGCACGTTCCGGTATGCCTCGTACACAGCCGGTCGTTTGGCGAGCGAGCGCTCCAACGACTGAAGCCGCTGCTCAGCCTGCTTTGCGTTGGACTCGAGGCTCGGAATCCCACTCGTCGCACTCCACGGGATGCCCATCTCAAAACGCGATCCATCGTGTTGAATCGACTCGGTCACTAGCTGTTCTGCCCGTTGCTCATCAGGTGTTGAGTATGTCTCACCCATGCCGACCTTCTCCAACTCCCAGAAGCTGTTGACAAGTTCATCTAGTCTCAGGTCCTGCGTAGACCTGACGAGAGATGCACCAACACATGTCATCTCGGGCTGGTCATAGGAGTTGTCAGTTGCGCCGTAACACACCCACCCGAGTGGTGTCAACCGAGCTAGCGGGTCACCAGGCTTGCCATGCCGTTCCTCCAGGGACGTGTGAAGCTGTGCCGCATTGAGTCCAATGAGGATGTCCACCTGAGCATGCTGCTGGTGCCTTGGGAACCTGATGTCGCTCAGGTGCGTCCAGTTCTGTTTCTGCGCGTTCCAGTCGACAGGCTTGATGGCACCAGTCACTGTTGGAAGGACGAAGGCAGAGAATGCAGACTCTTCGTCGCCTCCCTGTCGGGTGATAGTAACCGCTACTCTCTCACGGTCACCTCGGATGGTCTTGCCACCTAGTACGGTAGTCGTCAGTGTTTCGACATCTCCGCTGTAACTCAGCTGCTTGGCCAGGTCTTCTCTGATGAAGCTGACGGATGATGCCGAATCTAGCAGTGCGGTAGCCTCGACGACGTGAGGACCATTCTTCACTGTCACCGGCACTGTCATGAACGATACGTGCTGAGACTGGGAGAGACTGTCACTCGCGAAGCAGCTGGCTCCGACATTGACGGCAGCAGACGAATGTGCACCCGCTTTGTCACCTTCGGCGGTTTGTGCCTTAACTACCGGCGCCTGTTCGCTGGGCTTTCTCTCCGAGTGTAACATTCTGTGGTGCTTCCGCCCACACATGTCGCAGGGCTTGTTGCGACACTCTGCCGATCGATGCTTAGCCGGTCTCAGGCAACAGATGCAGATGTTGAGGGGCTTCACGAAGCTCCAGCGTTCAGCAACTGACATCTTCGCGAACTCATGGCAGTCTGCAAGTTGATGCTGCTTACCGCACTTGATGCAGCTCTTCGGAGTACCGGCTGACTTCCGCTCGCTGCTCTCGGCGGCTGTTGTCAGGGTGTAGTGTTGACGGCGCTCTGACAATTTGGTCCTCTGACTGCCACAAGCGGATTGTCTTTCTGCAGCAGCCTGGCGCTTGTCCGAACTGCTGCTGGATGACACTGCTTGGCTCTTGTAGCTGTTGCGCTGGCGCTCGTCCACCTTCCGCATCATGTGCACGACGTGAAGCAGCCAGTCCGCGAATGATTGTACATCGCATTTCTGGTCATCATACTTCTCAAAGTACTTGAGCAGCATTGACGACGGGACTTTCTCCGTTGCAGCGAGATAGAGCTCTCGGCCAGGGGTTATACCACATGACCTCATGTTCACCAGGACACTCCGCAGCTTCAATGCGAACTTCTTTATCTTCTCAGTGTCCTTCATGGTAGTGATCTTCGGCCACGTAATGATTTCCTGCTCGTGCCGCTCGATCTGACGATCCTCACCACCATACCAGGCCTCGATCTCCTGCATGGCTGCCTGATAGGCCCCCGGCCCGTCCATGACGTCTTCTATCAGCTCCTCAGCACAGCCACCCGCGAGAGCCTCCCTCAGGCGTGCCATCTTGTAGTATTCTGTGACATTCGGATCTGCGCCGACCAGTCCCATGAATTTCTGCCGCCATCTCACGTAATTGTCTTCATTGCCATCAAACATGGGCAGCTTCAGTGCCTTGAGGTGGCCACTCGGGCGGTAGGCCGGCGTCACTGTCGGGGCACCCTGATGCTGTCCGATTTGGTGGGCTGGCACTGCTTGTGCTTGGCTACTCGGGTACTGGGGTGCTGCTGTTGAAACCATGTACTGTGGTACAGGCATAGGCTGATATGGATACGCCGGTGTGCTGGTGTATGTCAGGCCGGGTCTGACCTCACGCGAGATTGTCGGCTGACTACTGGTAGCTGCTCCGTGCACCGTCACGCTGGGCTTCGGCACAAACGGAGGGGCGGCTGCTGTAAGTGCTGTCATTGGTGCGAACGCCTGGCTCACGAAGCCAGAGCGTTGAGTTGGCGCTGCACTGGATGCGGCTACGGCGCGCTGTGCGCTGAGACCGTCCACACCATGCGGCCTAGTTGCTGATGCTCCACTGGTGGTGCTACTGCCTACTGCACTGATAGTAGCAGGTGGTGACGGAACAGCAGCATCCACTGCTGGCACTGGTCTGCTGCTCACTGGGTGTGCTGGTGTCCTTACTGCCCTTGACAGGGTAGTTGTTGGCTGTAGTCTGCCTGGATTCCTGACAACAAACTGCTGTGTGGATCTGCTGACATGTTGTTGCTGCTGCTGCTGCTGGTCCCCTGCCAGTTCTGAGTTCGACTTTCTGTTCCTTAGTTCTCTAACATACCACAGAGGCAGCCTTCTGCTGTAGTCGGAGCTGCAACTATCCACCTCTGTTTCGTCGTCATCAGCATCTGAACTTGCTGAACCAGTAACACTGGGTGGCACTATTGGCGATTGCCCAAGCACCATCTCCACCGGGTTTGCCTCAACATCACCCGACGCATACGCTGCGTCTGTAACTGTGGCTGTCGGTTCGACCAGTCCATCAGCTGACTGTGGTGTAGACCCACGTCCTGTGCCGACCACTGGTCGGTCCAAATCGGAAGGTGAGTAGACACTTCTATCTTCGCTGCTGTTCTCACTGTAAGCAGATGCGGAAGAGCGGCGACGAAACTCAGACTTCGCCCTCTCCACCGTGCTTGCCTTCTTCATTAGATCGAGTTGGATGGCGATCGACTCTTGTCGCAACTTCGCCACTTCTGCTTCCTTGTCCAACTCCGCCTGTAGTCTCTCGACTTCCTTGGCTATTCTTCTTTCGGATGCACTAGTCCTTACACCTCTCTCATCATGTCTTCGCTGTGTTAGGTTTCCGACGTCTGCGTCGGAGGAAATAAATCGCTTGGGCAGCTTGCCCTTCGTTGATCTTGAACTGACTCGCTGTCCAGGTATGGCACTCTGCTCGTCCATCCTGAAGATCCGGCTCGAAGGACCAGTATGTTTGTTTTCTTTCTCTGGAAGACTGTATGCACTAAGAATATCAAACATAAGACACTGCTAAAACTGAGAAGAAACTTAGAATTGGATTCAACCACTGTTCACCATGAACTCTTTTCAAGACAAGGAGAAAGCAAAACAACAAAACCAAAGCTGCTAGAGCACTGCACGCGGAAAAACTCTGCACGTGAGATGCCGTGCAGCGGGAAAAAGGCCATACATCTGAAGCATACGTCTCGTGCACAGGAGCACAAGCCCGGGAAAAACAGGGTTGATGATCACATGATTTCACGCATGAGTGATACCATACATGACCTACAGAACTAGAGAATGATTGTAGTGAAAACAGACACATAAATCATACATTTCTCCCCTCTTTGCTCGAATAAGGCAGAACTATGGTTGACGGATGAGAGCAAGCTAACGTAAACAGAAGAGATCACACTACATGTATAGCATGGATTGAACGCTGCACCAAACTTGAGTGGAACGGCCAACGCCGGAGAATTGGACTGTCACCTAAGAACAATTTTGAATTTTAAGATGATGAGAAAAACAGCAGATAATGATCTCCAAGTCGGGTGCATGACCATATCAATGTTCCTTAAGAACATGTCACTTTGCTGTACAATACTGTTCGTTGCTGCTAGCAGTTCACACGGAGCGAAACTGTTCACTACTGCTAACAGTTCACTGCTCACTCTCGAGTGGAATCAGGACATTGATAGCACGTCGGTACACCCGCTTGCGGATCTTGACGTCCACTACGCGTACACAACCGTCCTCAGCCGGGTATACAGCAACCACTCGACCGAGTGGCCAGGTACTTCTAGGGGTGTGTGCGTCAACACAGATGACGACATCGCCCACCTTGATGTTGCGTTTCTTCTGCTGCCACTTCTGCCGGACGTTCAACGTTGGAACCACCTCCTTCACCAACCTTCGCCAGACGTCTTGAGTTAGGCGCTGTACAACTCTCCACCTGTCATGTGGATCAGGCTGTCCGTCAGGCTCCAGATGATCGATGGCGTGGTGGATATCGCGATGACCCACGAGGAAGTGCAGTGGCGTTAGCGGCTCTAGATCCTCGGCATCGTCACTGATACTCGTAAGAGGTCGGGCGTTCAGCATAGCCTCCGCATGAACGAATGCGGTCGCAAGCTCTTCATCACTGCACACTCCATTTTCGAGAACGGCGTACACTGCACGCTTCGCCAGCTTGATCATAGACTCGAACACACCTCTGTGATGTGGCGCGCTTGGTGGATTAAATCTCCAGTTGATCTTGTTTGACGCCATGTCTGCCGCAACATCTTCAGAGTGCTCCAGCTCTTCCACGGCGTCTCGCAGCTCTGCTTCAGTAGCGACGAAATTGGTGCCGTTGTCAGAGACGACATCCTTCGGTGTGCCTCGCCTCTTACAGAATCGGGAGAAACACATCAAGAACCCCTGCGCCGTCATGTCGTAAGCCATTTCCAAATGACACGCACGTGTCTCCAGACACGTAAATAGGCAGAGATAACGCTTGGCACGGCTTCGTCCACGGCCTTGCCTTGTCGAGAACGGCCCGGCGTAGTCCACGCCAACGCCAGAGAACACTCGTTCAGTGATAGCGACACGCTGCTCAGGAAGCTGTCCCATGAGTTGGGATGCTGGCCTGTTCCACCGTCGTCTGCAGCCGTTGCAACCGTGTCGATGCGACTTCACTGCCTGCTTCCCGCGGACGATCCAATAGCGTTGTCGGAGATTTGCGAGTAGATAGTTGACTCCGAATTCGTGATGACACTTCTCATCCTCCGATGCTATGACGAGTGAGGTGATCTGGTGCTTAGGTGGGAGAATCACGGGCCGGCGTGTGCATGCCGTAACCTTCGTGCTAGCATTATCGAGCCGTCCGCCGACTATCAGCACTGCAGGATGCTGACTTGTATCCAGTTCTGGATTCAGTGGCAGCAGCGGATCGCCATTCTCAAGTGGTTGGCCACGCTCAAGACGGCTGATGGTGCGCCCATAGGACTCGCGTTGAGAAACGGAGAGCCAGTACCTCTCTGAAAGTACCATCTCCTCAGCCGACAGCTCCGGTACTGGAACACAACTGCCGCTGCAGTCGCAACTCCCCTCTGTGCTGCTGGCTGGGAGAGGTTGCAGCAATCCATCTGATGTGGCAGGTGCACTGGCTTTGGTTGATCCAGCTGCCTGCTTGCAGTTGCGGAGGAAACGAAGGCACCAGCACGTCACGCGAAGAAGTCTCTTCCATGACGAGCACCTGGCTGGTGACAAGCGAGACTGTGCAGGCTCCGCTGCTGTTGTGACAAACGCAGATGCCAGGGCTCGCTTCGTCTCTCCACCGACGTATGATGGCACAGTGATCTCTCGAATTGGCCACTGATCGGGAGGCGACGACAGGAACTCCGGTCCGGACCACCAGACTTCATTGTCAGCTAGCTTCTCCGCTGTCAATCCACGACTTGGCAGGTCTGCGGGGTTGAGTCGGCCCGGGATATGACGCCATTGAGCTCCAGAGGTAGCGGCGTGAATCTCGGAGATTTTGTTCCCGATGTCTGTCTGAAACTTCCGGCTGTGAGATCTGACCCAATACAGCACGTTCATACTGTCCGTCCAGAATACATGGTCTCGGACTGGCAGGTTGAGTGCTTTCTCCACCTCGAGGCTCAGCTTCGTGCCGAGGACCGCTGCCTTCAGCTCCAACTTTGGGATGGAGAGCTTGCGGATTGGAGATGGTCTCGCCTTCGCCAGGGCTAGCGTCGTCTTCACCGTTCCGTCTGGATACTGGCACCGTATGTACGTAGCAGCAGCGTACGCTCCATCAGATGCGTCGGTGAACGTGTGCACTTGGATCTCAGCAGTGGAGGGGTCGAGAGTGGCCACCTTGAAACACCGGTCGACTTGGACTGCTGAGAGTGAGGGTAGCTCCGAGAACCATTGCGTCCAAGCCTTGGCATCATGCTCGTCCAGTTGATCGTCCCAGCCATACCCTTTGATGCATAGCTGCTGGAACATCATCCGCGAGCGAATCGTGAGCGGGCAGATCTGTCCTCGCGGGTCGAATACTGTGGACATCTCCTTCAGGACTGTCCTCTTGGTCATCTGCTCAGCTGCGCAGCCGGAGAAGACGAAGAGGAACTTGTCGGACTCAGCATTCCAGGTGACACCTAGAGTCTTCGTGGATGGCAGCGTGCTGTGACTGTGATCACCCACCTCGGCAACAGCTCCTGGCGCACGATCCTCCTCTGGAACATCGGCCATTACTGCTGCAGAATTGGACAGCCACTTGCGGATGTTGAATCCACCATCATGGAGTAGTGACTTCACCTCGAGGCGCACACGCTTGGCTGTGTCATCATCAGCACACGAATGGAGTAGGTCATCTACGTAAGTGTCATCGTGGACCGCGGCCGATACGTCAGCTGAGTAGAGATGGCCAAACTTGTTGGAGGTCTCCTCGAGAGCTCTACCCGCCAGGTACGGTGACGCTTTTACACCAAAGACGATGCGGTTGAACTGGTACACCTTCGGCTCGTGCTGCGGGTCGTGCCGCCACAAGAAGCGGTGGTACTTGCGGTCTTGTTGACGTAGCTGGATCTGCAGAAACATCTCTGATATATCGCCGACCAGGGACACCGGCTCCAGGCAGAAGCGAAGCAGGACGTGAACAATATTGTTCTGTGTCTTTCTGCCAGCATACATCTCCTCGTTCATAGACGTACCTCCCCAGTTGACGGACGCATCGAAGACGACTCTCACCTTGGTGGTCACGCGATCATTCCTCACGACTGGGAAGTGGGGAAGATACCATTGATCACTTCCGTCCTCTGCCGCTGTGGTGGGCTCAACTTCTTCGATGTAGTGCTTCGTCATGTAGGTTGACAGCACGTTCCGGTATGCCTCGTACACAGCCGGTCGTTTGGCGAGCGAGCGCTCCAACGACTGAAGCCGCTGCTCAGCCTGCTTTGCGTTGGACTCGAGGCTCGGAATCCCACTCGTCGCACTCCACGGGATGCCCATCTCAAAACGCGATCCATCGTGTTGAATCGACTCGGTCACTAGCTGTTCTGCCCGTTGCTCATCAGGTGTTGAGTATGTCTCACCCATGCCGACCTTCTCCAACTCCCAGAAGCTGTTGACAAGTTCATCTAGTCTCAGGTCCTGCGTAGACCTGACGAGAGATGCACCAACACATGTCATCTCGGGCTGGTCATAGGAGTTGTCAGTTGCGCCGTAACACACCCACCCGAGTGGTGTCAACCGAGCTAGCGGGTCACCAGGCTTGCCATGCCGTTCCTCCAGGGACGTGTGAAGCTGTGCCGCATTGAGTCCAATGAGGATGTCCACCTGAGCATGCTGCTGGTGCCTTGGGAACCTGATGTCGCTCAGGTGCGTCCAGTTCTGTTTCTGCGCGTTCCAGTCGACAGGCTTGATGGCACCAGTCACTGTTGGAAGGACGAAGGCAGAGAATGCAGACTCTTCGTCGCCTCCCTGTCGGGTGATAGTAACCGCTACTCTCTCACGGTCACCTCGGATGGTCTTGCCACCTAGTACGGTAGTCGTCAGTGTTTCGACATCTCCGCTGTAACTCAGCTGCTTGGCCAGGTCTTCTCTGATGAAGCTGACGGATGATGCCGAATCTAGCAGTGCGGTAGCCTCGACGACGTGAGGACCATTCTTCACTGTCACCGGCACTGTCATGAACGATACGTGCTGAGACTGGGAGAGACTGTCACTCGCGAAGCAGCTGGCTCCGACATTGACGGCAGCAGACGAATGTGCACCCGCTTTGTCACCTTCGGCGGTTTGTGCCTTAACTACCGGCGCCTGTTCGCTGGGCTTTCTCTCCGAGTGTAACATTCTGTGGTGCTTCCGCCCACACATGTCGCAGGGCTTGTTGCGACACTCTGCCGATCGATGCTTAGCCGGTCTCAGGCAACAGATGCAGATGTTGAGGGGCTTCACGA